AATTGTGGCAGCAGCTGCTGCAGCGGCAGAGAGGCATAGACCAGGCTTCGAGCGTACTATGCGCATGCCCTTGGCAATTTATGCAAATGAAAGGCGTCTGTTTGCCGACTGTCTGTCTGTCTGTCCGTGCGTTCGTCTGTTTGTCTATATGCCAGAGGGGGGCGGGCCTGAGTGGCGTTTAGTTAATGTTGTTGTTAAATTGTGCATTGTCTGCGGGCGGGCGTGGATGTGTGCATGTGAGCATGTGTTTGCAGGCGTTTCAACTTTAATTGAAATTAGTGCCGAGTTTTCGATTAAGTCCTGACTCTCATATTTACACAGAGGTTCTCTCTGTCTGTTTGCGTAAGCCCTATGTTGTCTGTGAGTTAATTTGAATTGTGAGTCGAGTTGACAATCGCTGTGGGAACTTAACTTTGATGTACTTTTTGGCCACACGCACACACACACACACAGCTGCAGCATTTAATAGAGTTGGGAGCTGGGCACTGAGAGACGCTCTATGGATGCAACTAGGTATCATTTATTAATGTCAGAGTTGAAGCCATAAAACTTTTCCTCGCAATAATCAAAGGAAACAACTTTGGACCGAAAACTAACAGCATGTCCCAAAAGTTTTTGCACACTATGCCCAAGGTAACGAAAGGACCTTAAGTCGTGTGAGGAAAATAAAAATAATTCAATATAAAATGTGCCTTTGAGCTGGCTTCTGGGAGACCTTTCGAGCTACTCAGGAGTGTCAACGTGTGAGTTATTTCTATTAGAATGCGCAACACATGCGCCAGATGTTTGTCGCCACTTGCAGCCCTTTTTTATATTTATATTTTGGCATTGCACACACGGCGTATGCGTAATTTTTCTCTAAAATGTCACGCCCGAAACTGGGCCGCACCGGATGTAGCGCCCGAGCACATTATCATCATTGACATAGTCGTTGTCATCAGCATTAACGTTAGACATATTATGATCTGGCTCAGCTTTTGTGCCTTGCCATTTTCCTTTCTCTTAACGTTTTTCAACATCCGTCATAAGTGTTTTACCCAAGATGGGGTATATTAGCTGTGCCAAATGCCCAAAAGATGATGTGTGCTTAAATGTTGCCAAGTTTCGACACATAAATGGTGAGAAAGGCAGTTAGATGAGAATTGATGCTGATGTGAATCAAAATGTCTGCCTCTTTACTTCTATGCAAATATGAGGTAAGAAATTAGAATAAAATTAAATTTTTATGAGATATTTTATTGCCCTTGATTTTGTTTCAAAGTATATAATGCCATTATATACCAAGTTATACATTATTAAAATAATGCCTCAACTCAATTGATATTGCTTGCAGCATAAGGCTCTAGCAGCAGCACTCCAGTTATTCTGCAAGTTCTTGCAACGAGTTCCCTAATCGAGTTGGGCCAAGATGTTCTTTTGTTCTTTACCAGCTGGCTTTATAACTATAGATGTATATTTGCATAATAATAATGCTAGGGTATCTAAGCTTCGGCTGTTCAATGATAATTTTTCATTATTTTTTTTGCGCCATTTGCAATTCCCACCTGCCCCTGGCCTAGTGAAAAGCAACAGCAGCAGTGGCAGTGGCAGTGGCATTGCCTCTGACATTTTGTCGTTGGCGGCTCATCGCAATCATAATTTCCATCTTTATGAATTTTTAATGAGAAAAACCCAACTCGAACTGGAGGATGAAGAAGAAGTATAAGCAGCAACAGCAGCGGCAGCAGCAGCAGCAGTCGTAGCAGCCGCTTAGCCTGTCACTTGCAATTTGAACTAAATTTTTTATAAGGCTCGACCTTGGGAAACGAACTGGATATAATCATGGGCAGGAGCTGGCGTTGGCTGCATGAGTAGATGTTGTATTTAGTTAGGCAAATATTTATTTGATTGGTTTCGGGATTTGCATTTGTGTATTTGAAATGTAAGCGACGCGAACAGCAAACCAAATTGTGCGCGAAAATAGAAAGGAAAATAAAATGAAATGCGTCTCTACAGTAGCTCTATGAACCTAAGTCGATGGCTGTGCTTGAATCAGCGCGGAAATGTAAAGAAAATATGCGTATATATTTGAAAACAGGTGGAAAGATTGGAAATGAGTGAGGGGCAAGTGGATTGAAGACGCGCAAACCTAATTAAGAGCTCATTAGAGTGCTTTTGGTAGCTGAATTCAATGCTGACTGAGTGAGTGCATTCATTTAAATTAATTACAGCTAAAAAAGGAGTTTCCAAGGGCCGAAAGCATTCACAAGGATTGAAGGTCTTCAGATTTAAAGAGGTCAAAGGCGAAAAACTTCAGGCAACATCCTGGCCAAATAAACCGGATATCAAATATATATAGAAAATAATATAAAAAAATACCGTTATTAGAGGCAACAGCAAACGGCAGCCGGGGGCAGCCGGATGCTTGGGTCAGGCAGCGTGACGAAAGTGTTGCACGAATTTTCAGCCAACGAAGCATATTTAATACGGTTTCCTGCAGGATAGTCAAGCTTATTTACGCCATGTTTCCTCAAAAAAGAAAACGAACAGGTGTATATTCGATTATACTGTTAAAAAAAAAGAAACTCTTTAAGCGAAACATTTTTGTATCTTTTCCACTTTGACGAATATTTTTGACATTAAAGCCTAGTGAAGTCAGAGTGAAGACTGATGTTTGAAGAGTCTATAAATGTATATAAAAAAGCAGTGCTTGCAAGAAGAATGGAAAGGCCTAAAGAAATTCTTAAATTTTATGCTTCTCTACTTTAAATTTCTTCCAACTTTAAGCAAGATTTGGCTCACGTTTTCTTTGGACTCGCTTTCATTAAAGCCTCGTTAAAAATTGTGCAGGCAGTCAGTGTACACATCGAAAATTTTATGATATTAAATAAAAGAAAAGCCTGAGCTTACTTTTGTAGCCCAATCCAAGCTGAGCTTAGACAGAGCTGCAAACTTTGGTTTGCCCAAAAACCAATCCCATTTCTCGCTAAAGACCTTCATTTGAATCTTTTGTGCCGGCTGCCTGCATTCGTTATGAATGTAAATGAGCTGCTGACCGAAATGAAAATGTGATTTATATAATTTATGTGAGATGTGCTCGGCAGGCAATTCTTTTACCCTTCTAATTATTAGTCATACGCAAGTAAAATAAAATATAAATAAATAAAAGGCGAGAAAAATGCGACAACTAATCAATGTTAATCCATTTCTAACGAGCCATCGTTAGGCACACACTCGCAGGCTACATTCACTTGTATGGCATCATCATCAAAATGCCTTCCAGCTTGCAAGTCATCAAATTGCATTGTTGTTGCTCTTATTGTTATTGTTATTGTTGGCATTTAACGATAATGTCAGCATATCGAGGCCATAAACAGACATTGAGAGCCAATATAGAATGCCACGCCCACACAGAGACACTTTCAAAACAAATCCGTATGCAGCAAGTCTCTGGGCAACTCTCGGCCCATCTGTCGCCAGTATTTGCCTTTGTATCTGTATCTCTTTTTGGGCGTTTAATGCGATTTGTTGTGCCTCCGACTCAATGCCTCAATGCCATATACATTAACAAAGTTTTGTTGGCTTGAAGATAAACTTGAGTTATTCGCCACGGCGAGGGTCGCTGACACTTTCTAGGAAACCATTTGTCACATTATTAACATTGCTGTTAAGATAACTTTTAACGTGAATATAACATCTGTTATTTATGCATGTATTCCAGATACGTAATATGATTTATATGAAAAATTAATGGATATATCGAAAAGGGCTGCTGTCGTTCAGCACGAGCAATAGCCATAAGTGAGCTTTACCTTGTTTTCATAGGGCATATTCTACAAGTATTTCAAAGAATTTATCTCTCAGAAATTTATACTCCTTTAAGACTTCTCTGTAAAGCTGCAAAATTTAAGATAAGCTGAACTCATTTGCCAGTTGCAGTTGGCATTTTGAATGTGGCTTTACAATGCCAAGGCAGGCCCCGAAAGGTTCTATGTATAAAGGATAAAGGATAAGGGATAATTGAAATATAATTAAAGAAATTAATTTATTCAAAAGTGCTCAGACCTTTCCATCAAATTTCCCTCTGGTTGTTTATGCAAACTTTCCTAGTATACAATTGTCAAGTTATCAAGCAGCCCTCGCAAATTTACATTTTTTTGTTCTGTTGTTTCTTGCATGGCAGCCTTTCTGCTTCTGCGGTTGTTTGTTTATACCAAATATTTGATATGAAAATATGTGTTAAATTCCTAAACTTTGGTGCTCTTTCTTTCTAGCTCATGGCAAGGCTCATTTTGTTGTGGTCTACGGTTGATATCCTAAAGTGTATATATATAAATATATATATATATATATATATATAGCACGCTTGCAGTCAGAGGCGCAGAAAGAGGCCAGCCAAACTTTTGTAAACAAAAAACAAACACACACTCACACACACAGCCACACGCACACATACAAGATAAATGCAAACATTTCGCTCGGTGCTGTTGACAATCCTTTTGGCTGCTTCGCAAAGCGGGCAACAAAATGTGAGGGAAGCGTGTCGTGCTTAGGTCCCGACTGCTGCTGCTGCTGAAAAGCAGAGATATATACATATATATTTAACTGTTTGCCATATTATGGCTTTTATATTGAGTTGTTTTGGACTTATCTAGTTTACGGCACAGGCAGCGGCGGCGTCTGGGCAAACAGCATGAAAACTTGTACAGGATGTGTTCTGCTTTTATGGCCCGGCAATGGCAGCCAATCGCATAACACTTTAACTAATGGCCCCAACTTGGAGTGCGCCGGCATAGAAATGATACATAATGCTAATATTGTAAACCAGATAGACGCTTTTGATTCATGCAGTACAAATAAGCCTTGTAAATATGCCCATAAATTACGTATACGCAGCGTAGTCGCTGAAGAATTGTAAATCATTTGTAAACTAGCCTGTGTTTGGCCCCATGTTGCCCTGCCCATTCTATATATATCTTCTGTGTAGAGGTTACAGTTGTTAGAGCATTAACATAAATTACCTTGCACAGCGATCCATCCACAGCGATGCCTGATGCCAACTTCTTAAGTCGTAGCCGCAGCAGCCGCAGCAGCAGCGGCAACAGTCACACACAGATGCACACACGCAGAGGACAAATACATTGAAATGAAGTGGTTAAGTGGCCCAGTCACACAAACACACACACACACACACAGTCGCATACACACGCACGCACACAATCAGTTAGATAGTCGCTTGGCTGCTGAAGTCAAGGAGTTGCACGTAGATTTACAGTTTATTTGCATTTCCTATGCATCTGGTGGGACCACAGGACCCGTTGCGGCTGCACCGCCGCCACCACCGCCAGCGCTGCCGCTCGCCGAGGTCGTACGTGAGACTGGGGCGTGCCCCAAGCCCATCATCAGGCGTTGCGTTGTGGCCGTTGGCGTTGTGGGCTGCAGCTGCGGCGAATCGAGGCTGCCGTTGCCGCTGCTGCTGGCATTTAGGGCGCTGGTGGCACGTGTCAGGAACCAGCAGTCCATCGGCGTTGGCTTGCCTTTCATAATGACCGGGCCGCGGTACTCCAGATTAAATGAATCGTCCTGGTTGATCTCCTGGCACAGCAGCCTATAGAAGAGATAGAGACAGAGAGAGAGAGAGAGAGAGAGAGTGAGTAAGAGATAAGAAAAACCAATCAAAAGTTTGCTTTGACTTGCAACCAGAATATGATTTAGGGACCTTCGCATAAAGCTAGTCCCTGCACTCAGCGCCTGCTGAGATCTAAATTACGAGCCCTTCATATTGACTACGGAACTTAATGGCGGCCACAATCGTCTGCAATTTATTGCCAGCACTTGGCTAATGTATGTCAACACACACACACACACACATGTACACTTTAAGCCACTTGAGCGTGTTCTGGCCGTTGAAGATAGTTGCTAAATGATTTCGGAAGCAATTCACATTTTACTGCAGCAACATTTTACACCAGGCACTGAAGCAAAGGCAAAATCCTTGCTGTTGTGTATATGTATACATAACTATGTAACTATATATGCAATATATATATATTTAAAATCTTAAAAGCTGCAGCTTGAGCTGCACAAAAAGTTGTTGATTCACATTTTTAGCCAATTTCAGTTTAAGATATTTCAAATCATTGGCAAAGGACAACTGATGGATGAATTTAACTGATTTTACTATTTAAATATGTATATTGTTGAGCTATCGAGATTTTCATTGTAGCTTAAAGTTAGTTCAGAGAAATGTAGGTTACTATGTGTTTATGTGTTATGTGTTTATATATATATAATATAGACAAGCGTACGTGCGCCGGCTCAGCATGATCAAGCCTGTATGTGTGAGAGCCAAAGAAGCATTGTCTCATTCTTGGAAAGAAAACGGAACGAATGAGTATTATTTCCTTATTTCGTTATTTCCTTCCTTCCAAACGTAAATCTTTTACAAGGTTAAATGCATATTCACATGTAAGCAATTGTCTTTCAACTCATTTATAGAGCCTTAATTATGAATTTAACTTAATATTCTAAGTCAGTCCAGAAACAGTTCATGGCCCAAAGGCAGAATTGAGAACTGAAGTCTGTTGTTAAATCCTGCTTAACATAACTAAATTAGTCAAACTGCAATAGCAAGAATTTAATGCTTTTATTATGCCAAAGCAACGTCAATTGTCGTCTACTTTAAAAACTAAACTGAAACTTTGCACATTTTCACCAGTTTCGCTGTCGCCATATGCAATATATTTATTTCCTGTCACAAATTTATGTAAATATCTGCATTGTACGTTTTCCCATCGAATTTATTACGCACACATTTCTGCTCCATTTTTCAGATTTCAATCCACTTCCCGCCCCCCTGCTTTTTTGTTGCATATATTGAATTTGTCTGGCTGCATACGTAGCGCATGTTGTGGTCGCATTTCCGTTTCCCTTTTCCGTGCACATTTTATTTGAATACCTCAGACAACAAATGTGTGTGTCTGGGTGTGTGTGTGTGTGTGTGGGATGCCTTGCATCATCTACTTGATTATAGTGCTCAATAGCTGATTGCATGCACATTTAATTCAATTTATTCGGCACTTTTTCACAGTTCAATTCTCGGCTTGCAATTCGGACACAATATGCGATGGGCCGTCGCTTTAAAGTATCGATGCAATAAAAGTCACAGGTGAAATGAATGCCTTTTAAGTTTTTAATGGAGTGCACATTGCATCTGGGCAAGATCTTCTTATTTTACCATATGTATACCGTGTGTGTGTAAGCCGTACAGGGTGTTATCGAATGTGTGTGTAAGAAGAAAATCTGTTATTAAGTCCTTGCTTATCCTTGGTTTCTCTGTTGATATTGTATTGTTCACCATGTCTTCGAGTTAGGCAGGAATATTGATTCCAAAGGCTATCAAAATCAGACTGACTTTAATCAATAGACTTCTTTTATTCTCTTTAAATACTTTTGCCATAATTCCATTCATTATTTATAAGCTTTTTTAGCAGTATGTATTTCTCTTATTTGATTACAGGGTATCTATCAGTCACACATTTTAAGTTTCCATGTGCTTCATTAGTCTCTACATATATATTTCCTTAATTTTTACTGTTTCTTGCTGGTAGACAATACATATGACATATAATTACAGGGTATGTTCTGACTGCTTAACTTTAATTTCAATATATTTGTATGCAGGCTCTTATACATTGTTCTTTAACTTTCTCTTGTTTTCATTTGCAACAAAATAAATCAAGCTTAGTTTAATGACTGGGTATCCATTAGTCTTACAAGTTCAGCTTTAATATCTTTAAACATCTTTGTCTCCTATCTTTTCCCCTTTTTATTGTCATACAATTAGATGTATTTTAATCAGATAATAGGGTATTTAGCAGTCGTGCAACTTCAGCATTAACATATTGTAATACTCTTATTTACCTATTTTGCCATAACCCAATTTGTTTGTTAATTTTGTATACAGGGTATGTATCAGTCGCTCAACTTTAGCTTCTATGTATTTCTTTGCCGTTGGCTTCCAAATTTTCCCTGTCATTTAATTTTTACCTCATGGCTAATCTGGGTTACAGGGTATCTAGCAGTCGTGCATCGCCAACTGGCGCCCACTCGTAATCAACTTCTGTTTATTCAAGCGATTAAGGAGCTGCATTCAGATGCAAGCAGGCAGTAATCAATTGCAGCTTGTTCTTCCCCCGCAACTGTGATTGGATTTAATTAATATCTTCATTAAAATACAAATTTGCACAGTGCGTAATTTGCAGAGTAAATATTGAAGAATCGCGCAAATACAATATGAATATATATGAATATTGCAGCTTCGTAATTGATATGCAAGCACTGAATATAAATATGGAAACCACAAGTAAATAGCATTGAAACGTTACTCCTTACTCATATGCGATCGAAGCCTTGAATAAATTGTTAAAAAAACAGAAACTCAAATTCAATTAACATATGCAAATAAATAAAATTATGAGCAGACAAAGGTAAAATGATATATGATAAATAAAATTCAGGAATATAAAAAGTTGTCTGCATATTAATTGCAATTCATAATACATATTTTGTGGACGGTACAGCACTTAAAATACTTTCAATTAAAACTATTTGCATAAAAATTATGTGAAGAGGAAAGAAATTTACGTAATTTTATATAAACTCGTGTTTAACGCAATTCAGGTAAAATTGTATTAAAAAATTCGTATTTAAAATTATATTTTTCAGCTTTAAGTCAGAAAGAACCTTAAGGAAAAGAGAACGAAAGTGGAACTGAACTGAAATTTAAGTATGTGTGGGTGAGCCAGTCGGAAGAGAGAGAGAGAGAGAGCGCGGCGAACAGGTAAAACAGCTGAGCATTTGATATGAGAATTTGTTGGTTATGTTGTTTTGTTGGGACAGAGCTCTTCAGTTGCTTGTCGGCGTTTGAACGGCGCGAATTATTGAATTTACCGTTGCGTGCTGGGAGTGGAGAGCGTCGAGCATTTTGAATAAATGTAGCAGCAAGTGATATAAACTCAGAGCAAACTGTCAAAGGACGGCAATTGTAAGTTCCACCTGTTGCTGCTGGACATTTGCTTGGAATAGTATAGAACGAACGTCGTGCAAATTACAAATGGAATATGAAATTTAATTTGCTTGATTACACACTATTCCCATGATTTAATTAAATGTAAATAAAATGTGTATAGTTTTGTTTGTTTACAAATTGTTTTCCTTTACCGTTTTGTTTTTGTCTTTGTGCGTATCATTGCCAGCACGAAAAAATCAATAAGGAGAGCACTGCGAGAGAGTGAGCGAGAGAGAGCGAGTGTGTGTTTACGTTCGCTCTTTACACACTCGCTCTCGCTCTCTCCCACTCTCTCGCTCACTCGCTCACCCCACGAGCGAGCGTCTCTCTCGCTGCTTCCTCGACGTTTTTCTTCCATTCAACTTACGTGTGCCGAACTTCGTTTAACGTATTTTTGTGTTTTCAAAATTGGCTCATTAATTGCTTGAAATTGCATTTACTGCAACTGTTTATTAACTGCTGTGGTTTGATTTGATTTGATTTGTTAACATGTTGTTGCAGTTGCTGTTGGCATTGCAGCAGTACGTAAGTCAATTAAAACGGCAATTGGCTTCGCTTTGGCTGGTGACAGTGCCTCAACACTTGTTTGGCTTCCGGCTATTGGTCGGCCAGCCACGGGTGGCGACCAGCCGAGCCAGTTACCAGCGTCACGGCCAGTTGCCGAGACGCCGACTGGTCATGGACTACATCTTCGAGTGCTTCTTCAACGACACCTTCGAGCACATCACGCGCAACGGACTGCAGGATCGTCAGTCGCGTCGCGACGTTCTCGATCACCTGAGCGCCATTGTCAAGGGCTGCGCCGATGGCCAGAATGTGCCTACCGACGAGGCTGCCAGCATAGCGGTCATTGCCGCCTTACGCTTCCATCGACTGGCCAAACAGGGCAATGGAAATGTAAGATTTAAATAAACAATTTGCATTCTCTTTTAATGACTTTTTGCTTAGATATTTCAGTTGATTCATGTTTATATTGAAAGGTCTTAATCTTATATATATATCAAGCGCTTAGTTAAGG